TTCTCACCTACATCGTCCATATAGGACGACTCGGGAACTCAACTCCTACCCCGGGCAGCTCACCGATCCCCTTATGCCCAGGGGAAAGGTATCAAGCCGTTTGACAGCAGATGCTGGCTGTCAAACCGGCTTTTACGCAAAACAGGCGGGAGGCAGCAAACAGCTGCGACCAGCGAAATCGCCTGCCACCGGAAGTCGGAGAGGCATCTATTTCTTCCCTTTTGCATGTTTCATTGTCACCGTTGTAAAATTTCAAACTTTTTAACAGCAATTTAATTTTTGACCTTATTTTTTATACACTTTTATTTAGGGGTGATGTTATATCGTGCACCATCCAGACCCCCGCTTTGAGGGAGTTGAAGGAATTAGAAGTATCAACAACTATCAATAAATACCAATGAGTAAATTTCGTAGATCGGAGAGCACAGAATACAAAAGGGGCAAATCTTTATCCGGGAGAGTCCTAATAAATGAAATGAAAAGGGGGGGGTCCCTGCATTGCCCCCCCCCGTGGAACTCCCCCTCCCGCACTCACCTCTCCGACCAACCACAGAATTGCTCTGGGCAGCCTCGCAGTTGTTTCGGCAGAAGCGATCCACGGCGGCCTTCCGGTACTGCAGCTTGTGCTTATCCCTGTTGAAATCCTCCGCATCCGCCTTCCCCAACGCCGTGACGGCCTCGAACTCCCCGCGGGCGCTGTCGAAGCGGAGATACTCCTGCCGGTGGTAGAAGTAGCGCTGCAGGAACCGCACCCGCCGCGTCCCGTTGAGGAAGCGGCACTCGTGCTTCGCCTGGTACAGGAAATGGGCTGCGGGGAGGAGGAGGAGGAGGTGGAGGAGCGTTAGGAGGGACTCCAGGGCCCATGGTTCCCAGCCTCCCCTTGAGGAGGGACCCAGGCTTGTCAAAGGCGGGGAGGGAAACCAGCCGAGGGAGACTGCCGGAAGGCGCCCCCTGGAGGAGGGTTGGGGAACCGTCGGTCCCAGCGGGATCCCCCCTTGGTGGGGGTCTGGAGGGGGGAGGAAAATGAGGGAGGGGAGGAGCTTCCCGAGGGACCGCCTCCTTCTCCCGAGGGTGGAAAAAGGCAGGCAGAAGTTCAGCTGGTCCAGCACTCGGCCTAACTGTCTGCAAGGAAAGCTGGATCCCGGTGGGGCCTCTTTTCTCCCCCCCCCAAAGCGACGGGAAATATGGAGGGAGGGATGAGACCCCCTAGGAATCTCTGGGCTGGAAGGAAAGTAAGATCCATGCTTCCCTCTCCCTCTTCCTTTCGGGGGAGTTGGGGAGGGGACACAATCAGGATACCCACACCCATGCTCCTGGGCCCTCCCCGCCCTTCAACCCCCACCTTCCCTGGGGACCTTAAAATTTCCTTCTCCCCACATCTTCAGCCCCACTAGCAGCCTTTGGATGATTTTCGACGCCTCTTTCCACTCCCCCTCCCCAAAAGACCCCCCTGCAGCCCCCCAAGACCGTCTCAAAGGGAGGGGCTCCAGCCCCCTTCACTAAAGGGATAGTTTTGGGGAGCCAATTTAGGGGAGCAATTCAGACCCACCCCAATATCCTTCTCCCTCAGTTCCCCCCTCCCCTCCAGGTCCCGATTCAGCAATGGGGGAATATGGGGTGGGGGGTTCTGGGTCTCCTCCCCAAATTCAGAGTCTCCCCCAAGAAGGAATCCAAGTTCAACTCTTCCCTCCCCTTAAAAAAATGGAGATTGAGAAGAAAAACTGAGGTTGCAAAAGCACTTTTGCCAAAAAGCCTCTTTTTTTCTTACGCTTTTGCTGGCCTTTGTGGATTCAGCTCTGAAAATGCCTCAGTTTCCCTCTTTCATTTTCGCTTTCCGTCTCCTTCCTCTTTCGGTGCAAGAAACTTCGGGGCTCAGGCGCTAATTCGGGGTCGACAAGGTCCCCCTCCGACCCAGCCACGGGGGGGGTGAGAGAGGGGGTCCAGCCGCCTCTTATCCCATCTCGGCTGCCTTTCCGCGACTCGGCCGCAACCAGGGAAGGGGGGGCTCCCTCTTTGTTCTGCGGGGGGAAATGCTACGAGGAAGGGGGCGGAGACCACGCGGAGATCGAGGCTCCTGCAGGCTCCCGTCTCTCTTGCCCTCCACCCCTTTTCCCCCTACTGGGATCCCCGCGGCTCTCCTCCCCCTGCCCAGCCCCCTCCTTACCGGGGGTCTCTTTCCCCCCTTCGCTCCCGGGGATCCGGGCCAGCGCCCCCACCAGCAGCAGCAGCACCAGGGGGAGCCCAGCGGAGCCCATGGATGCCGCCCCAGAAGCGCCCCCAGAGAGAGGGGAGAGAGACGGGGAGGCTCCCAGCCCCAGAGGTGGAATTGGGGTTCTCGCTTGGGGGGGGGGCAGCGGTTTCCTCGAACTTCGTAATTGGGAGGGCCCAGAAAAGCGGAGGGACCAATGGGAATTCTCCCTTCCGCAGCGTCATCGGTCTCCGGGCAGAGTCTCCCTTGACTTCACGCGATGGAGGAGATAGTTCGGCAGAGAGAAGAGCGGAGAAAGTGTGTGTGTGTGTGGGGGGGGAATCCCTTCAGTCGGGGGGGGGGGCGCAGCTCAAGGGGAGGTTTTAGACCAGCCCTGCAAGGGAGCGTGCATTTCCTTTTGCCCTCCCCCCTTGGTCCTGTCTAGAAGGGCTGGGGGGCTGCAGTGGAGGGCAGAAGGGGAGGGGCAGCCCCGCAGCCCCCGAGGACTTGGGGGTCTCTGAGGCGGCTGACTGGGCGCCTTCACACACAGAGACACGCGTTTCCTGGCCCCGCATGAAAAAGGAAACCAAATCCACGTCCTGGGTGGGGCTGCCCCCCCCCCCCGATTGGGGTCGGTGTGCGCCACCGGCCCCTCCTGAAATCTCTGCTTGGACCTTTTCCGTTCCTGGCAAAGGGGCTGCCGGAGGGGGGAGGTTTTGCCCCCAGCGCTGTTTTAACCCCTTGAAATAGGTCGGATTTGGTTGAAGAAGGGCTGTTGTTGATCTCAAGGGGGGGGGAATCAGAGGGGGGAAAGCCAGAATCCTCCCTTCCTCCCTCCCTCCCTCCCTCCCTCCTTCCTCCCTCCCTTCCTTCCTTCCGTCTTCCTTCCGCCCTCTCCCCCACTCTCTCCAAGCGCTGTGGGGTTTTCTGACCCACCGCAAAGAGAAGGTCGGTGTTGGTTCAAGAATGGCTGTTGGGGATCACAAAGGGGGGGGGCTTTCATGCTCCCTCCCCGGGAGGGGAACCTCTCGCAGCCTCGCTCTGGGGTGGAGGAGGGGGGGAAACCCTCCGTATCCCAGGGGGAACGTTTTTCCCAGCTAGGGGGAGGCAGGAAAGGGCGACCCCCCACTTTGGAACGATGTGCCTCGGGGAGAGCAGCCTCAGGGCGGCCCCGAGAGCCGGTGGGCTCCCCTGCATGGGGGGGGGACGGGTGTCACTGGAGGCCAGGCAGCTGTCTTGGGTGGGGAGGGGGAGCTTCCATTGGGATCCCTGCCCAGAGTGGAGGGAGGGGGCGCTGTTTTTGACAAACCCGTGCCGGCTACTGGCTTTGACTTTCTTCTTTGCTTCTAGTTGTTCGCAGATCTTTTTTTTTTTATTATCTTTTCCAGGATCTTCCCAGGTATTGAGGTTACGCTGATTGGTCTGTAGTTTCCTGGGTCCATTTCCCCCCCTTTCTTGAAGATGGGGACCACATCAGCCCTTTTCCAATCCTCGGGTACTTCCCCGGTAGTTCAGGATTTGTGGAGGATGTCTCTCTGGGAACTGAAAGGGCATCTAGTCCACCCCTCCAGACACACAGAGAAAGGAGGCTCTGGTTGAGAATCACGAGGGGGGGCGCAAAAAAAGTCCGCACTCCCCTCCGGAGCTGGCCTGAAACGCCCCCCTAAAATACAGCCCCCCACTCAGACTGAAGGGCTTGTTCCCCCCTCCCAACTTTCTCCGCTTCTCTCTCTGCGCCGAACTATCTCCTCCATCGGGTGAAGTCAAGGGAGGCTCTGCCCGGAGACCGATGACGCTGCGGAAGGGAGAAGTCCTATTGGTCCTTCCGCTTTCCTGGGCCCTCCCAGGTCCGAAGTTCGAGGAAAACGCCCCCTCCCCCCTCAATCCAGACCCCCCGATTCCGCCTCTGGGGCTGGGAGCCTCCGCGTCTCTCTCTCTCGTCTCTCTGGGGGCGCTTGTGGGGCGGCCTCCATGGGCTCCGCTGGGCTCCCCCTGATGCTGCTGCTGCTGCTGGCGGGGGCGCTGGCCCGGATCCCCGGAAGCGAAGGGGGGAAGGAGACCCCCGGTAGGGAGGGGGCTCGTCGAGGGAGGAGAGGGGCTGGGAGGGGCCGTCAGAGACCCTGGGGGTGGGAGGAAGAAAGGGGCTGGGACCCCAGAAGTGGGGAAAGGGGTCGAGGGCAAGAGAATCATTAGGCTGCGGGAGCCTCGATCTCCGCGTGGTCTCCGCCCCTGCCTCGCCTCATTTCCCCCCCCCCCGCAGGACGGAGAGGGAGCCCCCTCCCCTCTTCCCTTGTTGTGGCCGAGGTGGGGCGGGGGTCGCGGGGAGGCAGCCCAAGTGGGATAAGAGGCAGCTGGGCTCCTCTCTCGCCCCTCCCCCCCGTGGCTGGGTGGGAGGGGGACCTTGCGGACCCCGAATTAGCGCCCGAGCCCCGAAGTTTCTTGCACTGAAAGAGGAAGGAGACGGAAAGCGAAAATGAAAGAGGGAAACTGAGGCATTTTCAGAGTTGAATCCAGAGAAGCCACCAAAAGTATAAGAAAAAAGACGCTTTTTNCCCAGATAAACCCCTGGGGGTCCTGAAGGCCCCTCAGAATCAGTGACCGACTTTCAAAATGACCGCAAGGAATGTCCGTCCTTCCACCCTCCACCACTCAGTCAGAACTGAAGAAGCTTCTGGGAGGAGAAGCGAAACGTCTTCAAGGGAAAACCCAGGAAAGTCCAGCTGCCTTTTGGAAAAGCCCCTTTGGGCCAAGCGAGACCTGGAGGAGGGAGACTCTCCGGAGAGACACCCCCCCGGGCTTCCCTCAGCCCCTCCGAAATCTCAGCTGACTCAACCTGGACTCCTAATGCGGGTCTTAAGGGAGCTTAAAGGGGCATCTAGTCCACCTCTCCAGGCACAGTGAGAAAGGGGGACTGTGGTTCAGATTCATGGGAGGGGGCGAAAAATTAAGTCCACAAACCCCCCCGAACACCCCTCTAAAGCTGCAGCCCCCAAGACTGAAAATCTTCCCCTCCCTCGCCTTCTCCGCCTCTATTGGGAGGGACATTGGGGGGGGTCTGGGTTGCTCCTCCAAACTCCCCCTTTAGTGAAGGGGGCTGGAGCCCCTCCCTTTGAGGTAGCCTTGGGGGCTGCAGGGGGGTCTATTTGGGAGGGGGACAGGAAAGAGGCCTTGAGAAGCGTCCAAAGGCAGCTTGTGGGGCTGAAGATGGGGGGAGGGGGGAAAAGGGAAGGGGGGGCTTGAAGGGTGGGGAGAGCCCAGGAGCATGGGTGTGGGTATCCTGATTGTGGCCCCCTTCCCTTCTGCTCCCAAAAGGAAGAGGGAGAGAGAAGCGTGGATATTATTTTCCCTCCAGCCCAGAGGGGGAGGGTCTCTTCCCTCCCCCCATATTTCCTGCCGGTTTGGGAAGGGGGGGGCAAAGAGGGCCCACCGGGATCCAGCGTTCCCTGCAGACAGACGGAGGCCTGGACCGGCTGAACTTCTGCCTGCCTTTTTCCACCCTCGGGAGATGGAGGGGGGTCCCTCGGGAAGGTCTTTTCCCCTCCCTCATTTTCCTCCCCTCCTCCAGACCCCCACCAAGGGGGAAATCCCGCTGGGACCGACGGTTCCCCATCCCTCCTCCAGGGGGCGTCTTCTGGCAGTATTTCGCAGCAGGTCTCCCGTCACTCCGCCCCTCCTCTAGTAGCCGCTGGGAACCATGGGCCCTGGAGTCCCTCCTGAGGGCTTTCTTCTTTCTGCTCCCCTCCCCCCGCAGCCCATTTCCTGCTCCAGTGGAAGTCCGATTGCCATTTCTTCAACGGGACGCAGCAGGTGCGGTTCCTGGACTGGTACATCTACGACCGGCAGGAGATCTTCCGCTTCGACAGCGACCTCGGGAAGTACATGGCCGTCACTCCGTTGGGGCAGCCCGCTGTGGACCAGTGGAACAGCAATAAGGCCTTCCTGCAGTACAAGAAGGCCTCCGTGGATCGCTTCTGCCGACACAACTACGAGGCTCTCCAGGGCAGCCCCATGGTTGGCCGGAGAGGTGAGTGCGGGAGGGGGAGTTCCATGGCGGGGGGAATGCAGAGACCCCCCCCCTTTTCATTTCATTTATTAGGACTCTCCCTAAGAAAGATTTGCCCCTTATGTATTCTCTGCTCTCAGATCCATGAAATTTATTCATTGGTATTTATTGCTATTTCTTGCTGTTTATTGATACTCCTAATCCCTTCACCTCCCTCAAAGCGGGGATATAACATTCACCCCTAAATAAAAAATGTATAAAAAATAAGGTTAAAAAATAAATTACCATTAAAAAGTTTGAAATTCTACAACGATGACAATTAAACATGCCAAAGAGAAGAAATAGATTCCTCTCCTTCCCATCGGTCCCATCATCTTCCTTCTCTTCCCACAGTCCAAAGTTTCTCCTACCAAGAAAAACTTCTTTCCAGAATATTATACGAAATATTATACTTTTTTCTGGTGGGCGGGTAAGAATCCAGGAAAGATTCCTCTTGCCCAGTATATAGATATATTTCAATATAATCTATACACTATATAATATTTTAATATAATATTTTATATTAATAAATCAATAATATATTGATTTACTTATCAACTTTTAAAACCATCTCTCACACAGAGGGACTTTGCATGGTATACCCATAAAATATAAAACCACCAAAATAATCTATAGGATTTAAAAGACAAGAATGATTAAAATGCAGTAGTAAATTAAAGGGGGGGGGGCTTCAGGAGGCTGACCAGCCCCACGGCTGCCTCCTCCTCTGTGCCCCCCAAGCAAAGCCCCAGAGCCCCCTTTTCACCCCTTTCCAGAAGGACAGGAATGGGGGAGGGGCTCCCTTCACCTCTGGGGCCTTTGGGATTTTGGGATAAAAACTTCCAAAGGTCTGGAAAAGGGAATCAGGGAAGGCTCTTTCGTCTGCTGTGCCCTGTCCCTCTTTTAGTTCTTTTTATTCTTTTTATTCTTTATTCAGAGTCATTTGTTCATCCAATTTTGGGGATCTGGGAGAAAAGCCCCCCTGGAGACCCCCCTTTAGGTCACAGACTCAGCTCCACCTGCAGCCGAATCCCTTCCCTCTTCATATCTGGGAAGGTTCCTCATTTGGGGACAAAGATTAAAAAAAACCCCACAAACATTAAAACTGAATTTCGGGCATTCCTTCAGCCCTGAAGCCTCGGATTGTTTAGTTCCCTGTTCCAGATTCCTGGCAAATTGCCTACGTTTCTTGTTCTAGTTTTATTTGTTTATATTAAAAAAATCTTATTTATTTTTATCAACTGATAAGGTTTCATTGTGCAAAACAAGTGTTTCATCTGCGGTTGTTGCCATTTGTTGTTGCCAGGGTCTCCCAAAATAATATCCTACCAAAGAATTAAATAAGATCTTTCTTCCACAAGAGAAAAACCGCCAGATCCCAAGAGAAAAAGGCATTTTACCAGGTGACGCTGGGCATTTGTTCCTTCCGGAAATTGTGGAATATTTAAGGGGAACCAACACAGATTTTGTTCTCCGCATATTCAGTCTGGAATTCATGTTTACTCCTAAATTCTTCCCTGCAAACCTAGGAGGATAATTAACTGTTCATAAAAAAATCCCGACCAGATCCCAGGATTAAATTACAGATAACCAAAACTTTAAAAAGTGCATGTTCTTTTTTTTAAAAAAAAATAAAGTTTTATTGATTTTTATAATTAAACAACAAATATCAATATGATGCATTTACATACTCAAGCAATAAAAAGAAATAATCCAAATCAGTACCTTTTTCGGAGACGCTCGGCTGTCCCCGCCTTGCCTCCACCCTCATCACTTTCCTGTCCTTCCTCCCTCTAATCCCACAACCTCTCCACCTTCCTCCTTTCCACCTACCTACATCCCCTCTCCCTTCTTAACCGCCTCTTCGAGTGCAGTTTGGGGTGCCAGCCAAGCATCTCCTCTTTTCAATACAGTTATTATTTAACTATAACATATAAATACATCAATTTTTATAATTTCAGTCCCCTAATCCCCTTCCCCCCTCCCCCCCTGACTTCCCAGAGCTGAGTACAGGATTAGACATATAATAATCCAAATTTAACCCAAACAACCCAATCATAATATAAACAAATATGAACTTACTTTAACTCTAACATACAATCACCTTAACTATGAACTATATATGTAAATTATATATAGAAATATTTATAAGTAACAATAATTATTCAAAAGCTATATGATAATTGTTCATTTCATATTTTCTCTGAATATAATCTATCCATCTTCTCCATACCAAAATAAATTTCTCTTGATATTGATCCTTCAGGTATGCGGATATTTTTGCCATTTCTGCAAAGTATGAAACTTTCTGTCTCCAATCATCCATATTCGGTAACATCTCCTTTTTCCAATTTTGAGCAATCAATGTCCTTGCTGCTGTTATACAGTACAACATCAAATTCACTTCTTTTGAGTCCAGATTATCCATAATGCCCAATAAAAATAATTGCGGTGTAAATTTTATCTTCTTCTTAAAAATCTGTTGAAGATTCCACCAAATCTTAATCCAAAAAGCTTTAACATCCCTACATGTCCACCAAATATGATAATAAGTTGCATCCAAATTACCACATCTCCAACATTTTGGTTGCAAGTTCGGATACATGCAAGACAGTTTTTGAGGGTCCAAATGCCATCTATAAAACATTTTATAAAAATTTTCCCTTAAATTCTGTGCTTGAGTGAACTTGACATTTCTTACCCAAATTGTTTCCCATGTTTCTAACATAATTGACTTTTGAATATTTTGAGCCCATTTAATCATACAATCTTTAACTAATTCTGTTTCCGAATCAAGTTCTATCAAAATACTATATATTCTCCTAATATGAGCTCTGCTTTGATCTTTAATCTGTTTTATCAAGTTCACATCTTCTAATGCCAAACCTGACTTTTGATCTATATGCCATCTCTCCACCAACTGGCTATATAGGAACCAGGACTGAAGGATATTATCTTGTCTCAATTCATCCAATAATTTAATTTGCCAGTCCTGTCCCCTTAAAGTAAGAAAATCCTTATACACAATTCCCTTTAGTTTAACTCCCCTTGTAGTTCCTTGTATTGCATGTTCCGGAATAGCCCACATTGGGATTTTAAAACTTAACTTATAATGATATTTTTTCCAAACTCTCAAAAGTGCAGTTCTTAAAATATGAGACCTAAAAACATGATCAACTTTCTTGTCAAGAAATAAATAAGCATGCCAGCCATAAACTAAATCCCAACCTTCAAGAATCAATATATCTCTATTAGTTAAATTAATCCAATCACTAATCCAAGTTAAAACCACCGCCTCATAATATAATTTTAAGTTTGGGGCTTTAAGTCCCCCCCTTTCCCGTGCATCTTGCAGAATTTTAAATTTAACCCTCAGTTTTTTCCCCTGCCAGATGAACCTATTGACCCCTCTTTGCCACTCTTCCAAATTTAAATCCTTTTTAAAAATAGGTATCATCTGAAACAAAAAAAGAAACTTAGGAAGGATATTCATTTTAACCACTGAAATTCTCCCTAATAATGACAGATGTAACTTTTTCCAATCATTTAAATCCTTTTGAACTCTTATCCATAACTTATCATAATTATTCTTATACAATTTAACATTAGAGGCAGTAATATAAACACCCAAATACTTCACCTTTTTCACTATTTCAAAACCAGTTAAATTGCTTAAAGTCTCTTTATCTTTCAAAAGCATATTTTTAGATATTATTTTAGTCTTATTATTATTTACTTTAAATCCCGAAACTTTCCCATATTGTGTCAAAGTCTGTATCAGATGTCTTGTCGAATCAATCGGTTGCAATAAAGTAAAAACCAAATCATCAGCAAAAGCTCTAAGCTTATAGTCATTCTTACCCAAAGTTATTCCTTTTATAATCGATGATTCACGAACCTGTATTAATAAAATCTCTAAAGTCAATATGAACAATAAAGGTGACAAAGGGCATCCTTGCCTCGTACCTTTCTCAATTTTAATTAAGTCTGTCAATCCTCCATTTACTACCACTTGCGCTGATTGTTGTTGGTAAATACCCTTTAACGCTGATGAGAATCTGTCCCCAAAATTCATTTTGTCCACCACTCGTAATAAAAATTGCCAATCCAACTTATCAAAGGCCTTTTCAGCATCCAGAAAGATAAGAGCTGCCAGGATTTGGTTATTTTTATCCAGATATTCCAACAAATTTACAATTTGTCTAACATTGTTCTTCATATATCTACCAGTTATAAATCCAGACTGATCCACATGAATAATCCGTTTTAATACTTGCATTAATCTATTAGCTAAGATTTTTGCAAAAATCTTATAATCCGTATTTAATAAAGATATTGGCCTGTAATTTTTAGGCTGTGTCAAATCTTGATCCTCCTTTGGTATGAGTGAAATAAATGCACTCCTCCATGATGGTGGCATTTCTTCTCCTGACAAAATGCTATTAAAAAGACATCTCAAAGGTTCTAATATTTCTTCAGACAATATTTTATAATAAATTGCCATTAGCCCATCTGTACCAGGGGCTTTACCAACCTTCAATTGTTTAATTGCCTCAGTAATATCATCCAACACAATCGGACAGTTCATCATTCCTTTTTGGTCATCTGAAAGTCTGGGAAAATTTACTTGTTGAAGATAACTATCAATTTCAGAAATTTGTATATTATCAGAGGCATATTTAAAGTCATTAACTTAACCATCTTTCGGCTTTTGGAGCTTCTGGAGCATTCCTTGCAGGTCTGTCATAATAGATCTTTTGGGTCTGGCCCCTCCCACTGGCTCCGAGGTAGAAGAATATGTTTGAGGCACAGATTCCTTTTGCTGTTCTCTTTCCCTTCGTTTATGCGCTGCACATGTCATCCTCTGCTCTTTTGAATCAGCTTTCACCATCAATTGCTGACTCTGGGAATCAACTGCAGGCAACGATATAGCTCCAGGCATTTCTACAACCAACTGTTCCACTTCTTCCATTCCTTTAGTTAGTGACATAGGAGATGAATCTGCTTTCAGAACCGTTAAGTAAAAATCTTTGGCCTTCTGAACTGTGTCAAGTTTATAATGATTCCCAGCATAATTCAAAACCAGTCCAACAGGTATCTCCCATCTAAAAGGCACTTGTCTTTTCTTTAACTCCTGAGCCAAAAAGGCAAATTCCTTTCTTTTTTAAAAATTTTTTGAAGGTATCTCTTTCAAAATTATAACATCTTGAGCAGCAATCTGAAATCTCTGTTGATAAAAAGCTTGTATGATATCATTTCGACGTGTTTTTCTGGAGAAGTAGACAACCACAACTCTAGGCAAATTTCTCTGACGTGCCACCCATGAGTTTACTCTATATGCTTTTTCGATTTCTCCATATATAATTTCAGGATCAGAGTCAAACACCAGGGCTAGAGCAGCTGCTACCTCCTCCCTCAATTTCTCCTGTAAGTTCTCTTTAAGGCCTCTAATTCTTATGGCATGTTCCATTTCTCTGTACTGTGACATTACAATATCATTTTGCACAATCTCCACACCTTCTTCTATTTTCTCTATTCTCTCCTCCATACCCTCCATCTTCTCCACCACTTCATCCACATGTCCCTCTAAACGATCCACATGAAAAGCAAAACCTTGAAAAATTTGGGACATATTTTCACACAATTCATCATTTTTCTTACCAAGAAGTTCTTCTGTTTCAGCTCTCATCTGTTGTACTATCTGTTTGGAAATATGTGCCAGAGAGTCCTGCAAACCTTTAAGAGAAATATAAGGAGGAGGGGAGGGTGGAGGAGTTTTAGCTTTCTGTTGTGTGGGTTGTATAGCTGGTGAGGGAGTAGCTGCTTTAGGTACAGCAGAAGTTCCAATACGTTTAGAAGCCATTCTTAATTTTAAAAGAGTCTTAATAGTCAGTCCAGAACAATAAGTATTTAAACAAATTTTTCTTGAATTTTTTCTTTTTTTCCCCAAAGTCTTTAAAGTCGTTACAATGTACCAATCCACAACCGGAAGAGAAGTGAAAGTTTCCCTTTGAAACAAAGAAGCGGCTCGCCCGCAGCCATTTTTTTTCCTCCCAAAGTTAACTTTAAATTGCAACAATTGAGAAGAAGCCTTGTTCTTTCTGAGTTAAAGTTATATTTTCTCTTCCAAACAAGTCCAAATTCCTGGTCAGCTCTGTCTGATGATTTACTCACAGTTAAAAAATTTTCAAAGTTTCAGAGGTGGAGACGAAGTCTGGCTTTGCTGCAAGAATGAAGACATCCCGGTCTGTGGAGAAAGCTCTGAGCTCTGGAGGAGTTCTCACCTACGTCTCCCTGGAAGCTCCTAGGGAGACTAGGGAACTCTACTCCTACTCAGAGTAAAGCTCACCTTCTCTCCTTCTCCCGGAGAGAAAGCTCAAGCCGCCAAACAGCTGATAGATGCTGTTTCGGCAGTTTTAATGCAGCCCCGGACGGGAGGCTGTCAAAAAGCCTCCTTCGGCCGTCGCCGAGCCACCGGAAGTGCATGTTCTTAAACATTATATAATGAGCTGTTCATCAGAGAATCCCTCAAGGGAGAAAAACATTAGCAAAGTTGTCTGAGCTGGAGTGGATCTATGAAGGACCCTCTTGGGGGGGCTCACTCAGCCCTCCCCCCATTAATCCATCCAAGAGTTGTGCCATTTGCTGGAGGAGGAGATCAAGAGGGATCCCTTCCAAGGCTCTTCTGTGATCCTGGGATCTGCCTGATATCCTCAGCTACCTTCCCTTACCTCAAGATCCCCCCCCCCCAGATCCTTTCCGCCCTCCCTGTCCGGAATGGGGCAACTCACTGCAGGACAATTCAACAATTTTATTCAATTATTTAAAATAATTTTAAAAATGTTTTTTTTTAATTTTTGTCCTTCAGATTTCATTTCTTTCCTCCCTCAGCCTCTTTCCTTTCCTGATTCTCTTTCTCCATTTCTTCCATATTATGCAAGTTGTCCTAGACCCCTCCCTGCCCTCCCCATCCCAGGTAGGAGGGTCGGACCCCTCCCCACCTCCTTCCCCAGGGGAAATGGGGCTGGGATGGAGGCCGGACAGCTGCAGGGAGAGGTTGGGGGGGGGGACCAGGGCAGAAAAAGCCAAAATTTCAAGTACAGACTAGGTGAAATATGGCTCAAAATCAGGGGGTCCTAATGGGGACCCTAACACTGGAGGTAGTTGTTGAATTCAGAGGCAATCCCCCCTCACACGTCCTGTTCCTCCCCCTCTTTTAAGTATAATTTTATCTTGATTGGGAGTTCCATTTTGATTACTATAGAAATATTTATCTGTTAGGATTTTAATGTTTTAATGCTGTAAGCCAGGGCTTTTCAACCTTTTCATCGACTGTACCACTTTTAGGATATATGGGAATATTCGAGTACCACCTAGCAAGGTGTCAAACACTTGATGACCAAAAAAAAACCTGTTTAAAGTTGCAATTCCACTGAAATGACTTATGACCATTTTTCACACTTATGACCATTGCAGCAGGCCCAGGGTCATGTGATTTATATTTGGATGCTTGGCAACGGATTCATATTTATGATGGTCACAGTGTTCCAGGGTCATGTGATCCCCTTTTGCAACCTTTTGACAAGCAAAATCATTGGCAGATGGCCAAGTGCTAAGGTGGGACTTCCTTTCCTCCCTCCCTCCTTCCCTACCTCCCTCTTTCTCATTCCCATCTCCTTCTGAAGGAAGAATTTGAACCCCCCCCCAATATTTCCCCTCTTCCATATATTCATCAAACAAGGAAAAACCTCCAGAGACAGAAAAGACAAGCCATTGAGGGAACTAGCTTAAGAAGGCGCATTCCCCTTTAAGAATTAGCTACTGGCTAGAAAGGAAAGTTAAGGAGCGCAGTGGGCACTTAAGGAAGAAAAAAAATGTAGTAAGTACAGCTGCTGGCTAAGGCAGCCTCCCCAAATGGCTCCATTCATAAGTAAAGGAATGCTACAGGCAAAATCCATTCAGGAGAAAAATACTTCAAAATCCCTTGCAACAAAACTTACAGCTAACAGTAGCAGAGCAGTAGAAGCTAACCTGAGACATCAGCCATCAGCTAAATAGAAATTGCCAAACACTCCTTAAGAACACAAAGCCCCCATTGCACAAATCCCAGAACTTCAAAGTCACAAAAGCACATAAGAATCCTTCCACTCTCCATCTCCCTCCGTGATTTCACCTCCAGCCGGTGCTGCCTTTCTTCATTGCTGCCTTTCTTCACTGCTGCCTTTCTTCATTGCTGCCTTTCTTCATTGCTGCCTTTTTTCATTGCTGCCTTTCTTCATTCCTCATGGAGGACAACCCCTCCTCCCTACGTTCCTTGCCTCTTGGTTGCTGCCAGCACAGGTGGCTGCCACAGAAGTTGTAGATCCACTTGTGGCCGGCCTGCTTGATCTCCTCTCCTCTCCCCCCTCCTCCTTCTCCTTCTTTCCATTCCATGCTGCTAGAGCTGACTCTGCCTTCTCCCAAGGCTGCTTCTTTTTCTCTCTCTTCTTCTCCCGCCCAAAGTGCCTCCTTTTATAGCCTCTCCTGTCTCTGCCCCCTCCTCTTCCTTTCTCATGGGGAAGGGGGGTGAGCCGGAAGTAAGCCTGGGGCCTTTGCCTCGCCCCAGGCACTCTGCGGCTCCAGAAGACTCTCTCACGGTAAGTCTTTGCCTGAGCTGGCTCGTTCCCTCCCCCACTACACTTGGCTGGGCAGGGCAGCATACCATCTGCCATGTGCTCATGTACCACAGCTGGTACACGTACCACCGATTGAAAAGCCCTGCTGTAAGCTGCCTAGAGTCGTTTTATCATGAGATGGTGGCAAATAAATTTAATAAATAAATAAATGTTCCTGTATTATACCTATTTTTTTAAAAATGTGGGGGTTTTTTGAATGGAATCCCTGCAATTCTCCAAAACATGCTGTGTGTGTCTTCCCTGTCTTCTTGATCTCTTTACGTCTCCCACACATCTGGCAGGAAATTCCTTCCATCCTGGGGCATTTCCAGCATTTATTCCTGTTGGACTTGTGCAATTTGATGATGGAAACTGATCCCAACCAGGAATGATTTATGTTTTTCCATCTTTCAGGATCCCATTTAATTTCATGCTGCAATTTGGTTTGGAAATGACTTAAAACAAATAATATTTTCAGGAGTGAAAAGGGATCTAGGCCTGAACTAACCAACTTGGTCTCCTGTTCTGGCCCCTCCTGTGTCTCCCCCATGTCCCTCCTCCCCTCCAGCCAAACCCACCGTCTCCATCTCCCCCACCAAGCTGGATCCCGCTTCCCCCAACACCATCCTCCTCTGCACCGCGAGGGGCTTCTACCCCGTGGAGATCGAGGTCCGGTGGCTGAAGAACGGGCGGCCGGAGGAGGAGGGCGTGGCCTTCGGGGAGGAGCTCCAGAATGGAGACTGGACCTACCAGCTCCAGGTGATGCTGGAGACCCAGCCCCAGCGGGGGGACGTCTACGCCTGCCAGGTGGAGCATGCCAGCCTGGAGGCCCCCATCACCGTCCAATGGGGTGAGCCCCCCCTCCCTCCCCTACTGGTCTGGGGACCCCATCCTGCCCTGAGAAGTGGGGAGAGACCCTCCCTGTGGGGGGAGCTGGGATTGACCCTCCTGGGGGGGGAAGCTGGCCTTGATGCTCCTGCTCAGGGGAGGCTCCTTCTCCTTCCCCAGAGCCCCGTTCCTCCAACTCTGCCAAGAGCAAACTCTGGACGGGGATTGTTGCAGCTGTGATCGGGGTGATCTTCTTCACCATGGGGCTCTCCCTCTACCTGAAGAGCAAGAAAGGTGAATCTATGGGGCTGGATGAGAGGTTGTGGGGAGGGGACCATCCAGGGGAGGCCTCTCAGCAACCTTAGCAGATGGCAAGGAGGCTCCCCTGGGAAATTTGCTTGGGAAATTCTGTTCTTTGAGAGTCTACTGTATAAGCGAGCATCCTGCAACCTATTATTGGCTGTCAATGGGTAGGTGGACATTCTGAGTCCTCCAGCCCATGAAGGGTCCTGATTGGCTTTTTTTCTTCTTTCAGCAATTCCCATCCAGCCTCCTGCAGGTGAGTTTCTCCCCAAGTTATAGATGTTTCTTTAACATTGGTTAATTGTTCCTTTTTTAAAAAAAAAAAAGTGCCTGAACAAAACCTCCTTGCTGTGGATAACACAATTTTTTGAAATTTTGGGCAGCTTTTCATTACAGAGACCTGAAAACAGTGCAACCAAAAACAAACACACACACAAACACTAAAATCTGACCCAGGAGGTTTCCAGGTTTTGGGAAATTGCAAAAGAGAAGGGAAGTCTCCTTGTGAAAATTTCACACAATTTCTGGCCAAGGGACACCCAGCTTTGCTCCCCCCCCCATCGTAGCCCCATCTTCTTTGTTGATATGAAACGTCTGGGGGGGGAGGCCTCCTTTCCTGATTAACCCCCCAGTTAAGTCAATTGGGAAAAATTCTTCAAGCCTCTGGAGATGAATTGCTGGTCCTTTGCATCCTTTTCCACTTTGAAAAAAAAAAGGGGGGGGACACTCCCTCACTTTGTTCTTACCTATCAACCACCACCCCTGCAATGTGGGCCTGTCTGTGGGGGTGGCTGAAAGAGAGGAATAATAAGCTATTTACACTGGCTTCACTTTATTTTCTAATTTTCTCCCCATCTCTTTTTTTCTACAGCACTCATGAATTAATTCTGCCGTCCTTCCTGCTTCCTGATGAGAAAAGAAGGGGCTTTTTTCCATTAGCTGATGAATTTCTGTCTCTTTTTTGCAACCTCTGAAAAATGGGGGGTCAAGATTTTAGATCGGGAAGAGGAGGAGAACGGCAGCCTGGAGCTTCTCCTGCTGAGATTCCCCCCCTCCTTTATTTTCAGGCCTCCCTTTATTGTGAGGGAGGGATGGAGACCATCTAGACTGACCCCAGGGACTCTGGGCCTGTCTGTCAGTCCAGAACCCCAAATCTCTCCCCCCTTTGAATCCACAGCAGCTTCATCCCCATTAGTCTTCCTATGAATCATTTCCCTTCACTTTGCTATAAAAGAATAAAATTTATATTGTAGGAAAAATCCTGGAATTCCTCCTTCCTTCTTTCCTCTTCCTCCTCCTCTTTCCTGCCCCCACAGGGAGTCCTCCTCCCCTCCCCCTCCCCGTATTGAGGCTTCCCCTACCTCCGGATTGACCATCCAGACTAGTTTAGGTTTAAAGCCAGAACCGGTTCGGGAGGAGGGTGGGCAGATCCCAGGGAGGGGAAGAGGCAGGACCCCCCTCCTCCTCAATCTCTCCAAGCCCTGCCAGATGGAGGGGACCACTCGGAGACCCCCTATTCCTGCTTCCCCTGGAGAGCCTCTTCCGTGGCTGGGAAGCTGCTGGAGCTGGAGGTTCTCCTGGCTTCATCCGGGGCCTCTTTCTCCAGGATCGGAGCCGATTTGAGCCCCTCACAAGCCAGGGAGGCTCCTGCCCCATTCGCACCCAGCGCCCCCCTCCCCCCTCTCTTTTCGGGGCCCTGATCCCCTCGGCTCCCCCCTCCTCCAGACTATCTTCCCCCCCACATCCATCTCCCCCCTCCAAAAGGTGCCAGGGCTCTGGGGGGGGGGGCGAGAGCAGGGCGGCCTCCCTGGGGATGGAAGGGAGACTTGCCTCCCTGCAGCGCTAGATGGTCTTCGCTTGGTCTGCCGGTGGGTGAAGTCACAAAGGCCTCTGCCCGGAGACCGATGACGCTGCAGGAGGGAGACCTCTCATTGGTTCCTCTCCTTCAGGGCATTTCCAGTTCTGAAGTCGGAGGAAAATGCCTCCTCCGCCCCCATTCCAGACCCCTCCCCCCGATTCCGCCTCTGGGGCTAGGGGCGTCTCTGGGCTCTGCCGGGGTCTCCCTGCTGTTGGGGGGGCCCCGCTGGGCCAGTTCCCTGGAAGCGAAGCGGGGAAGGAAAACCCCGGTAAGGAGGATAGGGGGAGGGGGCATTTTTCTGGGATTCGTAATTGGGAGGGCTCAGAAAAGCGGACGTACCAATGAAAACCCTCCCTTCTGCAGCGTCATCGGTCTCCGGGCAGAGTCTCCCTTGACTTAGCCCGATGGAGGAGATAGTTCGGAGCAGAGCGAGAAGCTGGGAAAGTGGCAGGGGGGATCTTTTCAGTGTGGGGTGGGGCGGGGCTGAAGCTTCAGTGGGGGGGAGTGTTTCATGCCAGCTCCGCAGTGGAGTGCACATTTCTTTTGGGGCCCCGCCCCCGCATGATTTTCAACCAGTCTTCCTTTCTTGGGTCTGGCCAATCTAAAAAGAAGAAGAAATAGGGGAGACATGATAGTAGTATTCCAGTATTTGAGGGGCTGCCACAAGGAAAAGGGGGTGAGGTCAAATTATTCTCCAAAGCACCAGAGGGCAGGCAAGAAACAACGATTAGAAACTGATCAAAGAGAAAAGCAACCTGGAACTAAGGATAAACTTCCGGACAGTGAGGACAATTAACCAGTGGAACAGCCTGCCTCCAGAAATTATGGGCACTCCATCACTGGAGGTTTTTAAGAGGAGACTAGACAGTCGCTTGTCTGAAATAGTATAGGTTTTCCTGCTTGAGCAAGGGGCTGGACTAGAAGACCTCCAAGGTCCCTTCCTATCCTATCCTATCCTATCCTATCCTATCCTATCCTATTCTATTCTATTCTTACAGTATTTTCTTTTGACACCTTTAGTAAAGTTGATTTTCATTTCAATCCGGGAGTTGACCCATGGCCTTTTTGTACCTGCCTCAGCTTGTTTGAGCTACTGACTCCCCAAACCAGACCAGGATGAATTTTATCCTCAATCCTCTTCAGTCCAATTCACTTGAATACCGATATACCAAACCTGTCAGGAAGTTACAGGCTATAAATAAATGTCTGCTACTGGAAATTCCTCACCAGAAGTCAGAGTCTGTTCAGCACCTCAGCCCAGAAAAGCTGTAACAGGAGGCTGGGAGAGAGGAAGCCATGAAGAAGATGGAACTTGATCTGAAGCTGAAATGAACGGAGATTGCTGAGAAAGAGCACCTCAGCAGAAAGAGAAGGAACACCAAAACCAGTGAGAGAGTTTGCAACACCATGTCATCTTCACTTACTCTCTTCTTCCCAGTAGAACCCATAACCTGGGGGAATGGAAATACCAATTCATAAAGAACCATGAAAGAAATGATGTTCAGACCTCACTAATTAAATTTGAAGATACCTGCCAAGCTTACACCACTATAAAGCCCAGGAAATGACTCATATATCTCCTGTCTTGAAGAGTTGCTTAAGTCAAATATTGGTTGACATGTGTGCTGAGGAAAAGGAGGAAAACCAATAGTTTAAAAACATAATATTTATTTATTTGTTTGTTTACTTATTTATTTATTTATTAATAATATATTTGCTGATTATTCTGAATTTTCATTTAACTAACAAACTTCAGATATTTATTTCCTTCAGTTTTAATAAACATAAGTTGTCAAGCAAATCCAAAGGAAGAATATATAACAATAATGGATAATTAGATGTTACCAGCCTAAGAAACTATTTCACAATCGTTCCCCTGCTTTTGTCATTAGATGTTCCTTAGTGTTTAGATCTGGTCTCAGGATGATAATGTAGCACTTGGGAAAGAAGATGCAGCTCAATAGTCCAGCACCGGAGGCCAAGATGGAGAAGACCTGCACGGCCATCATGTATTTTCCTTTAGTGCTCAGGTAGGTGGGGAGGAAGGAAACCCAGACACTGCAGAAGACCAGCATGCTGAAGGTGATCAGTTTGGCTTCATTGAAAGCTCCAGGCAGGTTCCTGGCCAGGAAAGCCACAGTGAAGCAAATGGCAGCAAGGAAGCCCATGTAGCCAAGAACAACATAAAACATGGTGACAGAGCCTTCGTTGCATTGAAGGATAATCTCTTCAGGCTGGGAGTGCAGATCAGAGTCAGGAAATGGGGGAGAAATTCCCAACCACATGGCACAGATGAGAATTTGGACAGCAGAACAAGAAAGGATGATGGAGTTGGCCAAGCTCTTCCCCAACCATCTTGTCACTTTATTGCCTGGTTTTGAGGCTAGGAATGCCAGCACTACTGTGATTGTTTTGGCCAACACAGACAACACGGCTACTGAGAAGACAATGCTGAACACTGTTTGTCGGAGAAGGCAGGTGGCTTTCCTTGGTCGGCCAATGAAGAACAAGGAGGATAAGAAGCAAAGCAGAAGGGAGACCAGGAGGATGAAGGAGAGGTCCCGGTTGTTGGCTTTGACAATAGGAGTTTCAAGGTATTTAATGAATATGACTAAAACAAAGCCTGT